TGAGTGTGATGCTGATTAGGGTGTGCTGTTATTCGTCCAAGCAATGCTGACTAGAACAAAACGTGTAACGTGTATGCAAATGACGATTGCCGGTTGTCTTCGCCAACCCCATTCATTATTACGCAAGTGAATCATTGTGACGTTGAATGCTTTAACAAGGACGCCACGCGCAGCTTTGTTGACCACGTACAACAAAGCCAATGCTCGCATACTGTGACGTAACTTGTTAATTGGGGTTCCACACGTGCTTACGTAACTAGCGTTGAACCTTGTCAACGTAGTTCAGAGATTGTCAATGCCCTTTCACTCATGGTTGCCGCGTCCAATGTTACACAATAGAAATCACGCACCTATCAGGGACAATGTTAACACTTGGACCTTGGAAGGTTAATACTGTTATTTAACACCTAGACCTTGGAAGGTTAATACTGTTATTTGACTTAGTTGTACTTATGTTTTAAGATCTAGTTATGAAGGTTTTGCAAAATTATTATACTTAATTATTATTAACCACTTGCACAATAACTATCATCTTAGCTAGTTATATTATCGCATAACCGTTGTATATCTTGTGTATTTATCTGTTTCCCCCATTGAACCTCCCCATAGATATAATGGCTGATCTCATGTGGCAGTGTGAATTCGTAGATGGTGTCAAAAGTTGGAATATATGCTAATTAATGAATGATTCAATCTTTATATCTTTCAGATCAAATTTGCCTGGAAACGTGACATCATTCTTGGCACATCACCATAGGTAGTATGGCACAGGTCTCAATGGCGTGCAGTCAAATGACACAGTCATCATTCCACGATGTACCAAACACTAGTTTTGCTCCGAATTACAACCAGCAGCAGCAAGCACCTAACCCGTTCTCAGTCCCTCCAAGAAAAGATGTGTCACCATCAGCTGGATCGTCAGCGCCGAATCACCTAAACCGGCAAATCGTAGCATCGCAAACTCCAGGGTCGGTCTACGATGCGTCTAATCAGTGGCAATGCGATGCTGTCATTAATTCGAGAAAAAGACGCGAGTTCACGTCCGACGACAACAAGGACCCCGTGTATTGGGAAAAGAGGAGGAGAAACAACGAAGCTGCAAAGAGATCACGGGAGAAAAGAAGAATCAACGATATCATCATGGAAACAAAGGTATTGCAACTGACTAAAGAAAATTCTAAATTAAAAGCAGAAATAGTGGCACTCAAACGTAGATTCGGAGTCTTGGACGTGGAAAGCGTGACAGGGATGAAACAAGAATACGATGCACATCGTAATTACGAAGATGGAGTAACAACACCACGAGTTACATTGGACGCTCCTAATCTAACATGTGCCGACAACGGGCCCGTACAGATGAAACCACCCACAACCACGTCCAGGTAAAACAATGCAATTCTGACAAGCTAACTGCTACTGATATGTTGGACAGTACTGAGAGGAGGAAGCATACAAAAAGTCCGGCATCTGACCGGACAAATAAGAGCTATGGAAGTAACGTTGACGCAGAACCTAGCCCAGATGAACAGATGGACAGTGCCACGCCAATTAACTTAACAAAAGCGGCTAACCCAGATGAAAACAAATTTCCTCTAAGCGAAGCAAATTTGGCCTTGCATGATCAATTCTTTTTGCGATCCGGACATGTTAATAACGCCATCGAAGCGCTGAAACGAGCCGGGCTATTTCCGGCACGTTTACCGTTAACGGGCGCTCATACCGCCCCAGCAAATAACTCTTTCAATTCAACGTTCACGCAATTCATGCCGAGGCCGACCATATACGCACAGCCTTTGATTTATCCCATTAATTTAGTGGACACACCGCAAAGAATTGTAATGGCTGCTAAGACGTTAGTGGATCTTCAGTCATCGTTGGGAAACGGAGTGAACATTAACGACACGCACACCACAAGCCTCAACCGAGACACTGCTAAGGCCTTTGGGGACGCCAAAGAAGCTCGCTCCAACTACTTAGAGTTTGAAAATACGCAACTTCGCGGAACCCTTCAAAACCTTTCTTCGGATATTTCAACATTAAAAGTACTCGTTAATGAAAAGTTATCAAATTAAAATTGACAGACTTCGTATATTAGCGCCAATGTGAACATATAAGTATGTTCGTAATATCTTACAATACATGTACAATTTTTTTTTATTTAAATGAATAAATAAATACTATTATTACTCGTTCAAATTACCAAAGAGCTACAACAAGACAATTCTGATCTGCGCGAGACAATGAAGTCATATCGAATTTATATAGAACACATTTATATTTTTTCTGTCGAACTTTGTCATGCGCGTTAATATAGTTTTTAATAAAGACAATTAATGCAATTTTTGAATAATTGATTCTATTACCCACACAATAGTTAACGTCGTAAACAGCGTGGTGATAATACGTTTTATCAGTTCCGATAATGGCGTTGTCACTAGGAATATTTGCATTTACTAGTAATTAGCATTCATAGAGTCGGTCAGTTTTTACCATGTTCATTAATTATTTTAAGCGAATGTTATTGAAAACACATTTCGCATCGTATTTATTTTCAAATGTTTGAAAATCTGGAATTATTGTTAATTGTGAGATAGTTTATTAAAGCAACTTATTACGTAAGATGATTGTCTCACTCTGTTACATCAAATATGACCCTTCAATGAAATGAACAAACAGTCACTAGATCCGTCTTTATACTTGAGGTGTGTTATTGCCATTACCATCAGTCAATACGAGGTTTCTCTATGATGTGATAATGCCAGTCAATATGATGTGATATTACCCTTACTGTCGATCAAAACAAGGTTTCTCTGACGTGATATTGCTCTTATTACAGTAAATATGAGTTAAATCTATGGTGTGCTATTGCCCCCCTCTCAACGTCATCAATACGGGGTCGTTCCATAAAGTAATATTGTCATAATTATCAGTAAATACGAGGTTTCTCTATGACATGGTATTTCTCTAATTTCCAGTCACAAGTTGACTCTATGATGTGCTATTTCCTCCTCCACCATCAGTCAATACAATGTCGATCTGTGATGTGATATTATCCTTACTGTCAGTCAAAACAAGGTTTCTCTGACGTGATATTGCCCTGATTACAGTAATTATGAGTTAAATATATGATGTGCTACTGCCCCCCCCCCACCCCATCGTCATCAATACGGGGTCGTTCTATTATGTAATATTGTCCTAATTGTCAGTAAATGCTATCATGACGGTGATATAACCCCATCGCCAGTGAGCTCACTCTATAATGTATTATCACATCTCACTGATGTTACGCATGCTGTTATTGGTTGAGAATCGGCCACATGACATTGAATAAAAATGGGTATTACATGGCATATTGCCCGCCAAGAGGATATTGCATGGGTATATCATATGGATGACGTCACTGAAACTACTGCGCATAACAAATTGTCGTTCGCTGCACTGCTGCTGCCCGGCCGCTGTTGCTTTCGGGGTTGCTTTCGAGGTTTTCAACAAAC